GAACAAATGCTCTTTGATGCCAAGATGATGGTACACGCCAACTCCCCAACGGGATAAGAAGCTCCTGCTTGGGGTGGTTTCAGACCTTACCCTCTGAACTTCATTTGCGTCCCCTACAATATCCCGTATAACAAGCTGGTAACTGTTAGGATTCTGCTCTCACTCTTCCGGGTCTGGCATCTTATGTCATCAGGGGACGCCGGTGACTAAGCACCCACTGCACCCGCCTCGTGGTCCTGAAATCCCCACCGGATGCAGACCCCTACACTCTCTGTTTCTTCTCTGCGCTCTCTCTCTGCTCCTGCCATCTTTCTTTCTCTCCAGGCCTGGCTTCTTTCTAATAAAGCTCTTTCTAACTCTGGTAGTCGTGGCTGTGGCTCGTGACTTTCCCACGGACCAACCAGCGCCATAATAACCATCAGTAACAGTAACTGAAATGGGTTCCAGTTCTGAGACCCAGCCCAGCAGCTTGTCAAACCAGGGGAATGGGGTGTGGGAATTCATGGTTTATAAGTGGAAAGTCAGAAGTATGACAGACAGGCCAAGGACTTATATTAGCCTATCAAGCGGGGGTCTTACAGACTGTGTGGTCAACCCAGGGGCATTAATGCTAACCCCCGGGTTAACAGTCCCATGTTGACAGCTGGTACGAAAAACCCACATTTTGATGTCAGAAGTGCTGTGAGCATTAACAGCTTGGTGGCCCAGAGTGAAAGAATCAATTTTTAATGGAATGACCTGCAAGGCCATGAACCATGAACAACATAGAATCTTACTACTAATGCTTTAATAATATAGAAAGCCCTTGAATCTTGCAATGCTCTAGCCCTTTGGTTAATGCTGGCTGCGTATCTATTCTCGGCTTTTGGTGGCATACATCACAGGGAAAGAGCAGCGTCTGCAGTCACCAGACAGTGACACACCAAGTGCACACTTTAAAGGGTTGTTCGTGGGATGGAACTGTCACAGCTCTTTCATTATGCTCCACGAATCTAATTTTAGCACACAAAATACCCCAGGAGACTAGAGGCCTGATTCGGAGACCTGGATTTGGAGATAATGACACCTCCATTTTGTTTGGGTGATTGAGGCCGAATTGAAGTTCCTGGGACCTCTGGAGATGGGTGATTCTGTCACTTCTTTGTCAAAAGTGGATGAAAAACAGTGGCAGCAAAAAACCCTACTATCTGGGGAAACCTCACTATTCACAGGGCTAAACGCTGGTCACAGTCAACACTTGCTTCCCTGATGTTTATCTGGAAGTCTGCACAGACACAGCGGCTCCTCAGCTCAGAAAGGGTTAAATGTGGATAAACTCCTTAAGTCCATTTAATATGCTTAGCCTACTTCACATCCTGACTCATGCACACACAGTACACATCCTGGTAGTTTCCCTCATGATAATTCAGTTGGCTGGAAGATGTAGCTAGAGGCGGTTCTCCACCCTCAGAGCGCACAGTACCACACACTGCTAGCTAATGCAAAATTCAAGGTGCTTTCTACTGAGTGTGCCTTGCTTTTATGCCATCAAAAGAGTCATCATGTTTCAAGTTGAACAAGTACAAGCAGGGACTATCAGCACAGCTAGCTGATAGCTAGCTGGCCATCAACTCGATCATCTCACCAGGCTCTTATACAAGATACTCCATGTGCTTGGATCGGTGTCTTGCTCAAGATGCCTGCTGGCCTCTGAGCTACAGTCACTATGTCCACTCACCTGACATTTCCAAAAAAGTATCTCAAATGAAACCATCTCCCTCCCAAAGCAGCCACTTTTTTCTTCCAATGTCATACTTTCCTATTGCTGTGACAAAACACCATGACCAGGAAAACTTATAAAAGAAAGCACTGAATTGGGGCTCAGGGTTACAGAGGGTAGTATAGTCTATGACCAACATGAAGGAGAGCATAAGCCGGACAGTGGTGGCGCACGCCTTTAATCCCAGCACTCGGGAGGCAGAGCCAGGCGGATCTCTGTGAGTTCAAGGCCAGCCTGGTCTACAGAGCGAGTTCCAGGAAAGGTGCAAAGCTACACAGAGAAACCCTGTCTCAAAAAACCAAAAAACAAACAAACAAAAAAAAACAAACAAAAAAAAAAAAAGGAAAGCATGGCAGCAAGCAGTCAGGCATGGTGCTGGAGCAGTAGCTGAGAGCTTGCAACTATTCCACAACCATGAGGCAAAGAGAAGAAGAGAACAAGAGGGAGGGAGGGAGAGAGAGGGAGGGATGGAGGGAGGGAGGGGGAGAGAGAGAGAGCACACCGTGAATGGTGTGGGCTTTGGAAACCTCAAAGCCACCTCAGTGCCTAGGCAATCTTTAAGGTGTGTTCGGTGAACAGTGGTTGAAGAAATAGTGACCAACATAGATAGAAATTCAATGAAGAAAGGACCAAAAATGCCCCCAAACTAAATCCAAACAACAATGAACTAAAACCACGAAGCACAGTGGAAACAGGCTGCAGACCCGGACTGGTGTCCTGGGTAGCTCCTAAGTCAGGAGTAACTAGCTGTCAGTGCACTGGGAAGGGCCCAGAAGTGAGGGCACCACAGTCGTATTTGCGCTTTCTCTCTTTCTGTCTCTCTCCCTCCCCCACCCCTCTGTGTGTGTGTGTGTGTCTGCACTCTTGAGTACACACGTGTGGTTGGGCATAGACAGATACATACTGTTTGGGGGTGCACTCATGTTTCAGTGTGTTAGGATTTAACTATATCCCTCTGTATTAGTTCCTTTTTCTGTTGCCGAGATACAACACTTGGCCAAGGCACTTATAAAAGGGTTGATCTTTAGGCTTTCTGTTCTAGGAGGGTAGAGTCCACATGGATGAGGCAAGGTATGATATCAGGAACAGGAAGCTGAGGGCTCACGTCTTGAACCACAACCAGGAAGCATAGAGGGTGAACTGGAAATGGCATGAATATCTAAACTCCTTGAGAGCCCGCCTCCAGTGACACACTTCCTCCAGCAAGGCCACACCTCCTGAGGCTCCCTAAAGCAGCACCATCCATGGGACCATCAAATGCCAGAGACTGTCATCACGGAGTCCCTTCTGATAGAATCACTGGCTCTGTAAGAAGATGAGACTCCTGAGGGTACGTTCCCTTCCCCTCTATTATCAAATAACGCAACTAGAAGGTACTTGACATGTGCTCTTGGATTCCTTGATTCAAGAACTATGAGCCAAATAAATCACTGTTCTTTATCCACTACCAGGCTTCAGGTGTTTTGATACAGCAGCAGATGATGGACTGACAGGGTAGGCTGGGATTTTTAGTTTTTACTACTTAAAATTTTTATCATTACAATTATTGTGTATATGTGTCTGTGTTTGTGTGTGTTTGTATGTGTGTGTGTGTCTGTGTTTGTGTGTGTGTGCAAGCATGTATTTTCTCACAGGCACACATGCACAGACACATACATACAGGGAGGTTGGAGGGCATCTTGCAGGAGTCAGTTGTCTTCTACTCCATGGATCCCACAGACCAATCTCAGGTGATCAGGGTTGGTAGCAAGCATCTTAACCTGTAGAGTCTCTCTTTATCCCCACTTCTTTTTAACGAGCCATTTTGAAACCTTTAAAGCAAATCCATGTTAGAGTTGGAACAGTGGCTCGGTGGTTAGGAGCCTGCACTGCCCCTGCACAGGATCTGAGTTCGGTTCCTGGCACCACGTCAGGCAACTCACAACCACCTGCAGCTTCAGAGGATCTGATGACCCCTTATGGTCACTACCAGTACTTATAATAATTAACACACATGCACACACATATGCGGGCACACACACACGTACATAATACATACTTGAAAAGTAAAATTATTAAAAAAATCCCTTTTGGAGAAATAGACAATGATGAATATGGAACCATCAAGGTTGGGCACATATTTCCTGTCTTTTCATTTCCAATGAGGCCAGAAGGGCAGGGGTTGGGGGATGGGAGATGGAGGGGGAGGAGAGATGGAGGTGGAGGTCTGGAACACAGCAGGACCGAGCTGCAGCCCAAGTCTGCCCCCATCCCTTCGAGGCACACCAGGCACAAAGAATCTTTAAACCAGACACCTACAAATTAAGTCATAATTTTGACATTGGTGCAAAAGATGAAGAAAGGCCCAAAGAAAAGATGACTTCACTGGGCAGAAGATTCCAGGGTTACTCAAGACATTTGGAGAACTTGTTCGGACTAGTCTCTTCAGATGTGAAGAAGCCCAGGGACCTCCTTTCTCCAGACAAGAGCTCTTTGCTATCATAGAAGGACAAATGACCCTGATGAAAAGTCTCCACCGCACAGTGTTGTTTTTTCAAATGGTTGCGGCCTTTTAAGGCACAGCTGTCTGGATCAGCAGCTCGGCAGCGGTTAGGCCCACAAGGGCTGTAGCCCGAGGGAAATCCCTTTGCTCCGACTCTTGCTAAGCTATGGAGGGAAACTTAACTAAACCTCTCTCCCTCTAAAGAACTCAAGACTCAAATTCTGAGGTGGAATTCTGCTCTTCAGCGAGGCTGAACAACAAGTAGCTCACCTCCTCTCCTTGCTGGTGTCCTCCACAAAGCCCTCATGCCTCCCCAACCCCCTCTTTATAAGACTTCTCCACCTGGCTCTTCCCTACCGCTTCCTGTCAGCTGGTTGCTGACTCAGCCTCCTGACCACAGGTAAATTTTATTTAATCAAACCCGTCTTTGCATCATTAAACAAGTGTTCATGAAGAACATAAGCATAAGTAACACATCTTGAAATGATACGCTACAACGCACAAGGATATCTACAGAAGAGTGGAGGTGAATCCAGCCTCTGCTCTGTTTTCTAAGCTGTCTTCTCTGATCTGGGGCTGAATCTGCTCAGAGTCAGGGGTGCCTTTCCTAATTTGCACAGTCACTAGACGCACACGCAGTGGTCCCAAGAAGGACCTCAAGGTACTTGGGAAAGCCTTTGTGTTGCTATGTTCCTATGATCTGCACATACTGTAATACCCAGATAGCAGGGCCCCCAAAAGACCACCATGGAGACCGAATCCTGCAGGTAAAAGCAAAGAGCCTTTATTTCAAGCTCCGGAGCTTGGTCCTTCTGTCTGTCCGACACAGGGGTGAGAGCAGAGAGCCCTGAGCTCAGGTGGGGCAGAGTTTTTATCATAGCAGAGGTTGAGGTGAGGGGATTTCCAGGGTCCAGGACCCTGATTGGCTGACAACTGTCTAGAGGTATCTGTAAAACAAAAAATAGGTGTGTGCTAGGCTCAAGGACATTTGGCCACCTTATCTAATGGTTGGAATGTCTGGGATGCCAAGTACTTCCTCACCCCTGGGTAGATCCCTGGGTGGTATCAGCTTAAGGCTTTCCTGTATCTGGGTGTTGCCTGCCAGTAAGCCTGTCACAGAAGCTGTGTCCAGGCCCCTAAGCCTGTCATGGCTGCTGTGTGGTCAAGATATTTTGGGGCCCTGCACACATACGACCTCTTTTCAGACAGAAAAGAAAAATACGCTCCCTCTTTGGTATTAGGTAGCAATAACCAAATGGGGTACCTTAACAGGTGTCTGAGAGGCCAGCACTCAGTGTGAAATTGTTTGTGGTACACACATCCTTTAGGGAATGTTGCTCAGACACTTCTGGCTTGGATGCTCTTGGATTTTACAAGCATCTCAGATGTTCCGGTGTACATGGAAAGAGAATTACTTTTGTGATTTGGACACTAGACTAGGCAATGGGGTCAGAGGAGGATATGGGGTGGCATTGGATCTCCTTTTCTGTTGTTACTGTTACGTGATGTTCATATTGATCTGTATTTAGAGTGAGCTATTGGGGGTCTTGGATCAGTGACTAAAATGTCCAGAAAGTTAGGCACTAGGAATGGAAGGCATGCTAAGAAGACTGGGCTAGAAATGCTTGACAAGTATTAACCCACAAAAGTCCTATCTGCAGGGCCAATGCCACATACAACATGCACAAGGACTCCTTTGTCTGGAGAACTGTGGACCTACTGCAGGATTCCCAGAGAGAAAGTGAACAAACAAACAAATAAGCCAAAAAACAAAAAACAACCAGTTTTGCCAGTGTGTTTCTGGCTCTTCTGTGGCTCAGCTTGATTTTGCCCAGTGAGACTCTGTATGCGGGGAGTTAATTATTCATTCTTTTTCTCTTCCGTTAGAAATTTCCTACCTACTTTTAGAAGAGAAAGTCAAGTGGCTTCCAAGAGTGCAGCCTTTTCAACAGCTGGTAGTTTTTGAACTTTTTTTTTCATACAGTAGCTATATTTTTTTCCTCCCTCTTGAGTTTTTTTTGGGGGTACTTTCCCAGCTTCCTTGCCCTTTGCTGATATATATATTGTCTAATTGTGTAGCTCATTAGTATTCATGACTCTGTTCCCAAGAAACACCAGGGACAAATTAAAAAAAGAAGCTTCAATAGTAAAGAAATCACAGGATTTATTTTTAATTATTTGAGTCAGGGTCTCACAGTGTAGCTTCAGCTGGCCTGGAGCTCACTATGTAGACCAGGTTGCCCTTGAACTCACAGACATCTGCCTGCTCCTGCTTCTGCTTCTGCCTCACCAATGCTGAGATTAAAGCCGTGCACCACAGTGTTTTGAAACATCACAGTTGGTACCAGTAGGGAACAAGACTTATTGCCTCTACCCAACATTAGTTTCCTATGCTTGGGGCTGAATAAATTACTCAGGCATCACAAAGATAATTGGACAAAGAAAAACTACCCAGTAGTGCCTATGTATGTATTTATAGTAGTGTCTACTCTCATCCTACAAGTTTTCAGTAATTATTAGAGGTCAGAGGCAAAGAAGATAGAAGGATCGCAATTAGTCAAGTCTTTAATACAACTCTGAGCAGCCTTCTTTCCATTTTTATTTTGAGAGGGGTGAGAACACCCTTCAGAAAGCAGAGCTGCTCGGGGAAGGTCTATCATTAAGGGAAGATAATGAGGACTGCAACGCGCACACAGCAGCCAGAGCTCCGCTTTTTGGTAACTCCATTGCCAGCAGCTTTTACTGCATCCACAGACCCCGAAGACAGTTATTAGAATTTAGGGGGAGGAGGAATGCGAAGAATCTTGTCAACTTGTTTCTGAAAGCTTATCAACACTGGGTTTGGGCCATAGAGATACCGGTTCTGGAATCCCAATGCCCTGAATTCTCAGCTCAGGTCTGTGTCGAGTGTTAAACAAAAATCAAATTACACCAAAAAGCATCTTTTATCTACCCGAAGTTCCTTCACCAAGGCCAAGGAGGTCCCACATTGGACTATACTGTGTGTGCCTGTTTGTGTGTGTGTGTGTGTGTGTGTGTGTGTGTGTGTGAATTGCTTCCATACCGCCTTTTCATTACTTCCAGGGCCTATTTCCACGGAGGCTGAAGGCAAGTTGAGAATGCCAGACAGTTGCAAACTACCTTCAGTTAAAACACACACAAAAAAACATTGTCACCCGCAAATAACTGAAGGTCCTCAGAGAACACAACGCCTGAATTCTACCTGCAACTCATCCAGACCTTCTTCCACGCTGAACTCCCAGCAGGAAGCAGTGCTCCTTCTGGCCACCCCCACTGCACCTCTCTGGGCTTTACAAGTCTGGACAGATGCCATCTACATTCCAAACCCTTCTGAAACCTAATTTTGGATGCAGTTTAAAAGAGGAATCTTGCCGGGCGGTGGTGGCACACGCCTTTAATCCCAGCACTCTGGAGGCAGAGCCAGGCGGATCTCTGTGAGTTCAAGGTCAGCCTGGTCTACAAAGTGAGTTCCAGGAAAGGAGCAAAACTACACAGAGATGCCCTGTCTCGAAAAACCAAACCAAACCAAACCAAAGAGGAATCTCTTGGCACCGGGGAGTTCCATCACTGCATTCACCAGTTTTTTTTTTTTGTTTGTTTGTTTTTTTTGAGACGAGGTTTCTCTGTGTAGCTTTGCACCTTTCCTGGAACTCACTTGGTAGCCCAGGCTGGCCTTGAACTCACAGAGATCCGCCTGTCTCTGCCTCCTGAGTGCTGGGATTAAAGGCGTGCGCCACCACCGCCCGGCGCATTCACCAGTTTTAAATGGTACCTTTTGTATTGTGAACCCCTTGCAGGGGAAGCCACACCCACAGGGCCTAGCAATGCACCAAAGCACATAGTAGGTGATCAGCAAACCTTTGTGTGAGCTCTAGACACGTGCTCCTTTCAAACACAACATACATTCAGGTACCTGTCCACATCTAGCCTGTAAGGCATAGTTTGCATACATAGACACAGAGGTATATATATACCGGCCGTTTAGATGAACGTTACCAACTTGAACCCAGGGGCTCCCTTGCGGCAACAGCCTTTCATTGCTTTGGGAATACCTCACAGTCATTCCATGAAAGTAGGCTGGATACAGAGGATAGCTCAGAGCATGTCAGGGGCCTGGCGCATCAATTCTCAGGATTGAAGGGTGGGTACTTTATTCTAGAGAAATGAACAGAGACTGGACATGCACAGCCGTCTCTTCCTCTCTCCCACACTCCAACCAGGAGAAACACATGGGAGTGCCCAGGATTCTCTACCTCTGCCCGGAGGCCCTCTTGAGACATGGAAAACATGAAGCAACAACCGCCAAAGCTTGGGACACTAGCAGAGTCCGATCACGGGCGGCCATCCTCTGCTCCCTCATCTGCTCACTGACTCTGCAAAAAGCAGCTCCCACTCACAGCTCGCTCCTAAAATCAGAGGGCCAAACCCGAGGTCCTTCTTTGACCCCAAATGTGCTCTTCTTCCTTTCCCAGGTCAGCGTTTGTATCTGACACAGATAGGCAGCGTGTCCCTGCAAGGGACCTGGACAGGGGCGTGATGAGTCCTGAGTGCTGAAACGCACGGCCAGGAGCATCCGGATATTTTCTTCAATACTGAAGGATGGATGGAAGACTGGCGGCTGTGGCTGGAGAAAGTGTCCCCTCCTTTCCCCTCTTTAAAATCCAAAGCCCAGACTCCCATTGAGATGAGTCCTCTCTACCTGGCCTCCGCAGCTGGAAGGGCAAAGGGAGTATTTCCCTTTGGTCCCCAACTACCTAGGGACGCCGCCCAGCTCGCATCCACCGAGCGCTCGGAGCGCAGGATGTGCAGCCAGGCCCAGGGCGGCCCCGCCCCTCCGCGAACTTGACCGCACCCTCTTCCCCCGCGTGGCCGGGGCTGACGTCATAAGGCACCCAGCCGCCGGAGCCCCGCGGTGCGCACCCCGAGCCCCGACCGGTCGCGGCTGCTTTCCGGGCGCTCACCGCCAGGCGCGCGCGTGCCCGCCCGCGTCCCTCCCTCCCCACCCCGTCCCCGTCTCCGCCAGCAGAGCGCCGCTGAAGATGGCGAGCCTGGCGCCCGGGGAGCACGCCGCGCAAGGATGCCCAGCCCCGGCTGCGGAGGAACAGGCGCCGCGGCCCGGGGTTCCCGGGGAGGAGGCTGCACCGGAGGCAGGGCGGGCGGGCGCGGGGCCGCAGGTGGAGGAGGCCGCGGGCAAGGTGGCCGCCGCCCTGACCTGGCTCCTCGGGGAGCCCGTGCTGTGGCTGGGCTGCCGCGCCGACGAGCTCCTGAGCTGGAAGAGGCCGCTGCGCAGCCTGCTCGCCTTCCTGGGTGCCAACCTGCTGTTCTGGTGAGTGCTGGGGCTGGGTGGGGGCGCCCCCGGGAGGGCAGGTGACCTTGGGGCGCCCGGGGCCGGATGTGGCCTGGCAGAGGTGAGCTGGGCACTGCGGTGGAAGTGACAGCCCCTTTCCCACTTGCCTGGTCACCTGTCTGAAACAGGTCGTCACCCGCTTCAACTTTCCTCCAGACGCACTTCCCCGTGAGTGGCTGTCACCCTCGCTGCGGGTGTCCACCCTCCAAGGGGAGGTGATGGTCGGCTGACCCACGTGTGTTCCTGTATCTAGGGGTGTCCCAGAGGTCTTGAAAACTTCGGCCCTGTTACTGTTAACTCGCCGGTCTTGACCTGTATTTCCAAGCCTGGGGGTTCATGGGCGCTTGGACTTCAGTTGATTTTTGCCCCCACAGAGGTCTATCTGGGCCAGCTTAGATACAGTCTCAACACCGCTGCCCTTCATCAGCCACCAGAGATAGGCAGTGAATGACTTGTTTTTCCTTCCCCTGGAGGGTTGGGTTTACTGTCTTTGCTCCCTGATGAGAAAGCAGGAGGTAAACAAACAGGTGGATTAGGCACATCGCCCCGCCCCCAAGGTTGCACGGCGGGGTGGGGGTGGGGGAGGCAGGAGTAATTTCGGGCGAACTCCAGAGGGAAGAGACAGGAATGTTCTTTGAATAGCCCCCAATCAACAGGTTTGCCTCACCCGAAAATGTTGTGCCTAAGGTAAGCAGCAGGCAGCGGCTGGCTCCATCCCCGAAGGATGTGCCCTATCGTCTGGTACAAGTGCTCCGAGGGCAGAGAAAAGCCTCCTTTGTTCGCCAGTTGTCTTCATAACAACCATGACCCTCGCAGTGCCGAATAAGCAGTTTCACTAACAGACACCTATTGACAACCCCAAAGTTGTGAGATCCATGCACGAGAGAGATATAGCCTGTCATTTTTCTAGATCGACTTGAGCAGCGTGAAGGGTTTTCTTGAGATCCCTGCTAGCCTTGGTTTTACTCTGGAAACGAGCCGTGTCTTGTTGCTGACTGTGGCTTTGGGTCTCTCAGCTCCGTTTCTGGAGTTTATCCCAACTCTCTATCCTGTTGTAAAGTTAGTTACCTGAGCCCTTAAATAAAGAGGTTATATTATGTTGGGCTAGACGGGGGGGAGGCAGGAAACCAAGTTCTTAGGGCTGTGTCTCACGTATTTACCAATAAGCAGCATGTTTTCGGTTCTATATATCTAAAAACACCCCAGTTCCAAAGCTTGAAGGTTACAAAAATGTAAACACTTTGAAAATCTTTCCCCTTTGAAATCTTTTCCCTTTGAAAATCTCTTTCCCACGCCCATCCCCAGTTCTCAGCTTCCTCCCAGAGGCCACGGGGCTGGAGCTCTCTGCGCCTTTTTTTTTTTTTTTTTTAACCAGATAGGGCCTGTTTCAGCAGACTGTGGGCTGGCATAGTAAGGATTCCTCATTTAAGGGTGGGGCCTTGTTGACCACTTCCTTGTTTTTTCCAATGCATAGCATTCCTCTGTAAGCCGCCTCCAAGTATTGAACCTCCTAAGGAGGCTCCCATGTCGTTCCCAGCACTTGCATTTTTAGTGCCATAGTGGAGTCTTGAACGCGTGTCACTTGGTGTATAGGAAAACATTTTAAAGGGTGACTCCCGCACGTGAAACTCTTGGGTCAGAGGGCATGTACCCTTGTCATTTTAATGGCTGCCACCGTATCTCGCATATTGCCACTGTGTTGTCACCGGGTTCTACCAGATTATTTGCCCAAATTATTTGCCCAGATTATTTGCCCAGATTATTTGCCGAATGTGACTGCTTACGCTGCTGTGCTCTTGCCAAGAAGATTTTTCAAAAAACGTTTTCATCTTGTAAATCTAGAAGGTGGAAAGGGCATTTTGCTGTGGTTTTAAATGTGTGTTTGTCTGAGACTGTTCTCCTCATGTTCAAGGGCACTGTAATTATCTGTTCTCTGCAGTGCCTATTTATCCGTAACAACTCTGGTCTGCTTCTTCACTTTAGACATTGACCTTCTTCTTATTGACTTACTGAAGCTCTTTTTATAGGATGGATTTTAGCATAATTAATGGAATAAGTGGCATACATTTTTCCTATGATTTATTCTTGTGTGTGTGTGTGTAGGGGGGGTTGTGTGGGTGTTTATGTGTGTTGCTGGTCCACATCTGTGTGTGTGCATGTAGTAGAGGCCAGAGCCCCTCTTAAATTGCTCTCCTTAGTGTTTTTCAACAAGGTCTCTCACTAAAACTGGGGCTCATCAATATGACTGGATTGGCTGGTCAATGCGCCTTCGGGATGGTCTGCCTGTCTCTAGTCCTTCCCTGCTGGAGTTACAGATAGATGCCATCACTCCTGGCTTTTCTGTAATGCTAGGGGTCTCAGGTCTTCTTGCTGCATGGCAGCCACATTCCTGACTGAGTCACCTTCCTAGCCTCCCTAGGACATAGTCTAAGAACAACTGTTGGAACTAATTTTTTTTTTTTTTGTCCAAATAATTTAAAAGTATATTTGATATTTGTCATGAGTCTCGTCTCCCATCCATTTTATTTACCACTCTGATGGAAAGACAAATAGTGGCCAGACACTGAGCCTGGTTAGACTCTATTTGTTTTCTTTTTCCCCGTGTGCAGTAGCTGGATTCCATGCATGCATTTCTGCTGATAGGCGGCCATCCTGCTCCCTGAATTCTGAAGCACTTGTTGCTTCTCTGTTACAATCCACTGGGCTTTGGGACTCCTTTATTAATGCCAGAACTTTTTTTTTTTTTGAAATCTTCCTTATTTGTTTCTCTGAATTTAAAATATGCTTTTAAAGTTTAAAACTAAAAAAAAAAAAAAAAAAAAAAAAAAGAAAAAAAAAAAGCCAGTTTATTTCTTCTCAAATGATCTGATTCTTGTTTTCACTCCTCTTTTCCATTCCTTTTTTTCTCAAAAAAACAAAACAAGTTACTACTCTGTCATCCATACTGGTCTCAAACTCATGACAAGCCTCCTGCCTCAGCTTCCAAAGTACTAAGTTCCTAAGACTAAAGGTATGAGCCATCATCCCCGGTTACAGATGACCTCATTTGGTTCTTAATATTCTGTGTCCTGGGAATGCGCAAGCTTGTGTTTTCTATGAAGAAAATGAAGAAGTCAATATGTTAAAAATATAATGGGCAATAGAATGAGATCCTGTCTCAAAAACAAACAAAAAAGAAAAGCCCAAATCTTAGCATAAGCAGTGGGGTGCTTCTTTTATTATTGCTGCTGCTCTGTTCTTGTGGAAGATGACTTTGTAAATATACAGTTTGCATGCTTTAATATCTGGTCCTAACAACTGCTTTCAGGATTTTGAATTTGATTCAGAAATTTTGACATTGACTACCTGAGCATGATCTGTAATATTACTGCTGTGCATAGAAAACTGGGATTGAAACAGGCCCTGGGGAGTTGGGCTATCTCCCGGATGCATTCAGCAAGCAGATGGAAGGTTCTGTGGTGATATTGTGTCCCTCAATATATTGTGCACTCTAATAAACTAATCTGGGGTCAGAGGACAGAGCAGCCACCAGACAGACATCAAGGCCAGAAAATGGTGGCACCACACACCTTTAATCCAATCACTTAGGAGGCAGAGATCCATCTGGATCTCTGGGAGTTCAAGGCTACACTGGAACCTGCCAGGCATGGTGACACAGGCCTTTAATCCTAGGAAGTAATGGCAGGAAGCAGAAAGGTATGTAAGGCCTGAGGACCAGGAGCTAGAGGCTTTTAAACATTTAGCTTTATAGCAGCATTTCAGCTGAGATTCATTCGGATGAGGATTCAGAGGCTTCCAGTTTGAAGAAACAGGATTGGGCTGAGGAGTTGGCAAGGTGAGGTTAGCTGGGGGCTTGTCTGTTTCTCTGATCTTTCAGCATTCACCCCAATACCAGGTTCTGGGTTTGTTTTTACTAATAAGACCTTTTAAGATTACAAGGTTCTAGGAAGGATGAACAATTCACTTTGTGATGCTCTGGGTGGGACAGAGTCATTGTGGATAGGAGAGGCTGCACTGTCTTAATGGATTGTACTTCAGCTGGACCTTGATGGACAGGAGTAGGTCTTGGACTTGGGCGACTGTCTAAGGGTAAAGAATACACTGAATGAAAGAATTACATCTCTTTTCTTTGTTTGTTTGTTTGTTTTTTCGAGACAGGGTTTCTCTGTGTAGCCCTGACTGTCCTGGAACTCCCTCCATAGACCAGGCTGGCCTCGAACTCACAGAGATCCACCTTCCTCTGCCTACCGAGTGCTGGGATTAAAGGTGTGCACCACCACTGCCAGGAAAAGAGCCACATACTTAAAGCTATACAGAAAGCTCAGTCTGGTAGTGAAAAGTACCAACAGGACAAAATGTAGATGAGGTTGGCTAGGTGCTGTGGGGACATATTTGGGGTACAGTGCTTGCTAGAAAGTGCCATATTTAATGTTTGGACTTCATATTTCTGTAATTAGGGAGGACCACAAAAGC